AGGATGTCGGAAGGATCCAACGAAAGCTTGGCCCCTATGACTGTATGCTTTTAAAAGTTTTTAAGGTTTTTATTAAACATTTAATTGTCTTATATTCTCCTGGTGTTCGCATTTTTATTTTGTATCATGGATATTCCCAGGAGTCATTCGTCTGTCTTTTATGTTATTTGCAACCATATATATATATATATATATATATATATATATATATATATATATATATATACACATGCATATACACATGTACAATATACACACATATACACACATATATACACACATACATTTATATAATCGTTTTAAAAATCTGAGTCCCAGATATATTTGTTTGTAAAAAGGAAGACATACTGATCTCCGGGACATAAAATTTATTTTGCACTGAGCTTTCGTTAGCCACTGCTAAGCTAACATTATCAAAGAGTAAACCAACATTGGAGAGACATTGTTTTTATAGCCCTTTAATTACCAATAATTTAGCCATCAAGAGTGTAATAGGTCCATTGGTTTGCCACCCGCATATAGTTGGGCGCATCACATCCAGCTCAGCTGTATTAGTTGATATATGCATAGCTCTCCTCGCCCTGCCTCCTGCTACCTGCCTCCAAACTATATGCATATATATGTCTTCCTTTTTACAAACACACACACACACACACACACACATACACACACACACACACACATATAATATTTCAGTCATAGACAGTATAAAATACACACTACTAGTCACTCTAAAATAGAAATCAAATTATTTTACTAAAATTTACTTTATTTAATTTATAATTTTACTAGAATTATAATAGTTTAGCTAAAAAGGGCTGCATTCCTGAGCCATATTATCTTACAGAGTTGAACAAATTATGATCAAGCCTGCTATATGTATGTATGTATGTGCAAATTCCACTTTCCATGCTAGAAACTGCAATCCCAAACCAAAGTTCTTCAAGAAGTTCAGAAGAGTTTTGATTATGTGCCCCCTTTCCAAATGGACAAGGAGGCTGAGAGTTGGTGTTGAGAAGCAAGTAGATTTCATGGGCGCCTGTATATTTAAAGCAGATGCCTGTGTATGAAGGACATGTTTTATAACCCTGGAAATTGTGTTTAGTCTACTGAATAGCCATGCACTGGCTATTCAGTTGAGTGAGACCATCCAGAGAGAACAAGCAGAAGAGACAGAATGTTAGGCATTTTGTTTTGTTGGACTTGTGTGGACTGCAAGGTATCTTCTTAGGACTGCACATAACATGGTCGGGCTTGCTGCTTCAAATGCCTTCAGGGATGCCACAATTCCAGAAAATAAGGACTGAAAAGAGGTCAACATAGTGTGCCTTTGTCTGTACTGGCTAATGTAATACAAACATAAAATACATAATTTTGGGGATCAGACATACTAAGCCAAAAGTAAGTTAAGATTTTTTTTCTGTGTACACACACACACACATACACATACACACGCACACACACACACCAGGCAATGATGATGCTAAGATGTTATGCTAAACCATTTCTCAGTACCTGGAGTGTAAAAACTACATTTTGCTAAATTGCAAAATCTCAGTTGCATATAAGAAATTAAGATTGACTCCAAATTGCAACCCATTATTTTGTTCAATGAGATTTTTAAATAAAGCTGAGAAAAATGAATTATATCAGCCTTCCATGTTCATTGCATTGGAATTGTCATTAGTCGTTAATAAATAATTATTATCAGATTGCATTTGAAAGAGTTAATTTCATTCTAGAAGCAATGTCAAAGTGTTGTAAGAAAGTTTCTATATGTTTTGCTCAAGAGAAATGTATTTATTTAATATTTGGTTGCTTTCCCACATATATTGTCTCTCTTTTTCAAATTTTGTTCAGAACCAATGAAGATATGTGGTCTAACCTTAACACTGAGAAATACAACCTCTGCCAAATTAACATGGAATCCAAGTGAGACTGATTTCAGCCATTACAAAGCATCTGTCTCAAACAAGACATTCACAGAGGAATATGCTATTTTAGGTCCTGAGACACATCACACCGTTACAAATCTGACTCCTGGTAACATTTATAACTTCACTTTGCAGAGAGTAAAAGGCAGTGCTGAAAGTGCAGTTTCCTTTACAGAATTTGTGACAGGTTTGTGAATATCTATGTTGGAAGTTGTTACTTTGTTGACAAATATGCCACTAGAATTAGTTTCAAAACATGTTACACTAGGGTTTTGTGAAAAAGTATAAATTGTTTTATCATTTGATGGACTCAGAAAATAGACAACTATCTTAGAAATGGTGAAAATGCTAAAAAGGGTTGTTTGGCAAATAATTATTTAATGCTGCACCTTCTTGCATGAAATACTTCTGTGGAAAGTTGCAAAATTGAAAATAGAGGAATTAAAGGTGAAGCATATTTTAGGAATAAGATTATACAAGTACAAGAAGACATAATTCAAGTTCAAAATCATCCATGATTTGTTTTCCACTGACCAGGTTCTAATTTTGATTTAAAAATGAGTACTGTGAATATTTTCTACTGTAACAGTTATTCTCATGCAAAATGATAAGTTTTGGTAATAAAAATAGGGATTAAATTATTTAAATATCGTGAGTTCTAATCTGGTGATGGTAAACCTATGATATGTGTGTAATAGGCGACATGCCAGCAGCTCTGTTTTTGTTCAATTTTCTGAGGTTGCATGCGAATGTGGTGTGCTCTTATACAGCCTCTGGAGCTTCTGAAAGTCATATGAGAAGGCCGTGCTCTCACTCTGCCTCTAGAGCCTCTGAAAATCACAAAAAAATGGAATCTGTTCTTTCATGATTTTCAGAGGCTCCACAGACCATGCAAGAGCTTGGCTCTCTTATGCAACTTTCAGAGGGTCTATGAGAGGGTCATCCAAGAGCATTCCTATTCATATTCTTATGGAGATAATATGCCAGAAGGGTCAGATTAGGTATTTTCTGAATTTTTGACACACTGAATCCAAAAGATTTGCCATCACAGTTCTAGTCCCACCTCGGGCAGAATGCCAGCTGGGTGACTTCTTCTTGATGACCACTTCCCCGTTAACTTGAGGGATTTGTCCAAACAATTGCCTAGAGTCAAGACTAACTTAAAGACAAACAGAAAAAAAAGTTGGGGTGGGATTTAAACATCTTAATAGTATATAGCTTATGTACAGATAGTTGATGCATGCAAAGCTCTATGTACTGGAGCTAATTAATTTAGAAAGTAATGTTTTGATAATAATCTTTCTTAATGAAAAGAGTAATGTATAAATAATTTTTCTTTTAGAGCCTGAAAAGCCACAGAAACTGAGAGTTTTCAATGTGTCCTCACATTCCTTTTCTTTGCACTGGAGGCTGCCAAATGGATACGTAGAACAGTTTCATGTGCAGCTTGCACCTCCTCATGGCTTTGTTTCTCTCCAAGATATGGGAAGTGGACAGTATCAGGTAGGTGAGGGCTTTTGTTTACAGTACTGTAGTTCGAATTTGTTTATAAGCTGTGCAAACAGGACAATTGGCATAGTATGACATTCTATCTTGTGCCTTTTAAGCTGGGTTGGGAATGCAAAAGTACATGTACCAAATTTATAAGAGCAGATTTCAACATCTATTCTTTGTTGCCTTAACAACAGCGATGATACTTTTACAAAGTCTACCTCAGACCTCTAGCCAGTCATTTAAGTGTTCATGAATATTTTAACAAAGGCAGGGCTGAGCTATTGAGTAATACAAGTTCATTAATTGTGTACTTGCCAGGGAGATCTAGACATAACTCGTTAATGCAGGCAACATTTCTCTCATAAGCCATCACAAAGTTTTAAGAACACTATTTCATTGCAGTATTTGGATATTTTTATGTATATATATATATACATATATACACACACACACATACAAACCATGATTTTTCATGTTATCGTGCTTCTGTTTTTTATTGGAGCTGCAAAGGCACAGGTATTTCATATGAATATTGAGTGTTGATTGATGTAAATTATATTTCAATGACTATGATAGCTTAATATATATATTTTTAGGTTATCTCAGAATATCTCAGTTGATATGAACAGTCTAGTTTCATTACTTAAAACTGTGCAGAATCCTACAAATAAACACGGCCACTGAAATGAACTATTAACTGATGGGTCTTACTGCTTTTTAAACATTTTTCAACAGGCAGCTTATACCTAAGAGTAATGCATGTTTTTTTAAAAAATAAAATAAAAAATGTTATGAATACTAGTGATGTAAATGTATTATTGAATTTTTCAGTGCTTTATTTGAGAGATTGAGAGATGCAGTTCTAAATCTTAATTTCACATTCTAGGCTGAAATTTCAAATACCACTCCTGGGACAATATATAATGTGACTGTTTCTTCGGTTTCCTCTTCAGTGTATAGTTTACCTGTCAGCAGAACAGTAACAACTAATGTAACTAGTGAGTTTATGGCAAAATTGCATTTGAGTGTTTTATCAAAATGTTTCAAAAATATGTATGTAATTTTCTGTTTTGCAAACTGAAATTGTTCACAGTGCTTGCTCTAAAGTAATTGGGAAAGTATTTATTTTAAAGAAGTAGTTCCAGGGTTGCATATTTGAAGAGAAAATTACCCTTTGAAAAATATCTTGATTGAAGATACACTTGCCAAAATATGAGTACTCAAAAATGTCTTGGCAAACTCACAGACGCCTTAATACTGAGCTTAAAAAAGTAAATTGGCATTAGAAGCTATTTGTTTATGAATATTACAGCATTCCATTAAAATTCTTAGAGAAAGAATTTACTTGATGTTCCAAAAGGCACTTTATTATCTTTCATGAAGTTAAAAAAAAGCCAATTTCATATTTGCTGCTGTTTGATGCTTAAAAACTGGCAAACCCTCTCCTTATTCTGCAGTAGCTAAAGAAAAGGTTTAATGTAAAAATATGTAATTTATACAGATCCAGGACCTCCTGTTTTCCTAGCTGGGGAAAAAGTTGGATCTGCAGGAATTCTCCTTTCATGGAATATACCACATTTCCCAAATGGGAGAATTATATCCTACATAGTTAAATATAAAGAGGTTTGTCCTTGGATGCAAAATATTTACACCCAAGTTACAACAAAACCAGATAGTTTGGAAGTTCTACTAACCAACCTTAACCCTGGAACAACTTATGAAATTCAGGTAAATTTATCTTTTATTATTTATAAAATATAATTTAAAATGCAGTATTTTACTTTTTGAAATTTGTAAGCATTTATATATATATTTAATGTAAATCTGACTGTAGGCACATAATTTCACTTCAGTTTCACTTCAGTTATGCTCTCTAGTGGAAGTTTTGCATTTAGTTATCTAATACAGTGAGAAAGTATATTAATTTCCAGAGCTGGTAGTATTCTTATGCATTTTAATAAGCTGTCCCTTCCCTTCCCTCCCCTTCCCTTCCCTGTTTTTGTCCCAGTGCATTTTTGTTCTATTTGATAAGAATAATATATTTCTCATACTTTTGAGGAAAATCACACGTTCATTTTTGATGTGATCATCATAAAACAATGCATTACATATTGCAAAAGTTTAAATAGACAGGAGTAATAGCTTTCCTGAAAGTTCCAGTCTAACACAGTTGATGGCAAGATGCCAAATTGCAAAAGTCAGATAAGTTGTTCAAGATAAAGATTAATTTGAGAAGTATCTCATTATCAGGACAATTTCAGAATAGTTTGGGTGATATTTCAGTATATTAATATTGCAATTATGCATTAAAAGTCTATATATATAAAATGTACTAAATCAGTTATGTTTAATATTCCAGTTTGTTGAATATGCCATAACTGTTGAATATGTTATAACTGTTCAAGCAATATCTCAAATCAAGCAATTCTCATAATGGCAATGTATGGAGCCCGTGGTACCTTTATCAAGCACTTTTTAATTTCATTGAGAAAAAAGGAATCATTCATACCATGCATAGCACTTAGTAAAGAATGTGTTGACAACATGCAGGTGATTTCCATCTTCTGTTTTTATTGGGTACTTTCCCCCCACAGAAGCATACATAAATTTGGTAGTTTGCATGAATATTGTTTGTTTCACTTAAAATACAATCTTAGTTCTCATTGATTTTGTCCTCTTGCAGGTTGCTGCTGAAAATAGTGCTGGCATTGGAATATTTAGTGAGCCATTTCTCTTTCAAACTGCAGAAAGTGGTAACTTGGTTTATAACATCTCTTAATCATCTTGTCAGGCTACAGAAAAGTGAGACATGCTTGGATCTGAAGAGCCAAATTGTGCTGAATCACATGTTATTATGAGAACATTATTTTTGTTTTTAAATTAAATGTTAAGTTTATTACCTGTACTATATGTGGATAGAAACTTGTAGTATTAAATAAATCCAGTCAAATACATTTACAGGTCAACCCTTTTAATTTAGACACTGTTGAAAACGTAGGGAGGCTCAGCCAATTTCACTGTATACATGTTATACTTTGATAATAAAGGGGTTATTATTAATTTAATAATACAATGCTAAATTTATCTTCAGATTTAAGCTTATTCTGTAAACTTAGATTTTGTTATTTGTTGACATTTAAGTATGACAAATTCACTGAAGTGACAAACTTTCAACAAATATTCCTGAAGAATTTGTGTAAAATTTGATAATTTAACAGCTAATTTAAAAAACCACAAATATCATTGTTTACATTCAAATAGTTATATATATCAAATATAAATATTTTTTCTATTCTACCTCTAAAATATATAATAATTATATATTACATAGATTGCTGTAGATAATTTTTTTGCAGAATCTGAAAATCCTGTCCAGGGCGTAAGGAGTAGGGAAATCCATCATTTATGTTTGGCATCCTAGAGTTACAACAGTGTATGAGCTCACTTTGCTCTGTGATGTCTTCATGTAATACAGTGGTAGTAACAGAATACTATTTTTAATAGAGTCTATTTAAAATGAGTCAAATACATTCTTTCTTTCTTTCTTTTTTTATTTTGCTGCTCTCTTCCCAAGCACCTGGTAAAGTGGTAAATCTCACAGTTGAAGCTTTCAACCACTCAGCTGTAAATCTGATTTGGTTCTTGCCACAACAGCCAAATGGGAAAATAACTAGTTTCAAAATCAGTGTAAAGCACGCAAGAAGTGGAATAATAGTGAAGGATGTTTCTGTTAAAGTGGAAGACCTTTTGTCTGGCAGGTTACCAGAATGCAATGTGAGTATTAAAACATGCCGGTTATAGATAAAAATAAAAGTTGATTCTTCAGGACTGTCCACATTTCAGTTCAAAATTCACAGTAAAAAAATCAATTAGAGTGATAGCAGCATAAGGGCATAGTGTGAGTGATCCTAAGAGCAAAACTAATTGGAGATCTGTAGAGCATGATCGGAAGAATAAAAAAACTTACTTTATTGTCCTTTTAATCACAAGCACACATTTTATTTCTTTGGTATTTTAGATTAAATTTTAATGTTATTTATCTGAAATGTTTTCTTTTTAAATTCTTCTTTTAGGTTTTTGGTTTGGGGATTTTGTTTCTTGTTTTGCTTTTAGGAACTGTATCCTTTATATATTTAAATTTTGATTTATTTATTTATAAATAAATAAAAATATCATCATCCTAAGTCATCAATTAATATTGATTGCATTTGCTAAAGTAAGTGAAATTATACTATTCAGCTATAGAGTCTTATCTAGATTCCAGATGATTTGGAATGTAGCTTTTTTTTTTTAAAAAAAATTGAATTTTCCTTTTAACAAAAACATACAATTTCAAAGTTCATACTTGAATTTTCATACATCGATAGCAAAATATCTTATCAAAATTAGATGGTCAAATCCAAAAAGACAGTTTCTCTATTTCAACAGTTATAAAAACAAAGGAATTTTGATTTGTCATGTACGAATACCACTCTTGAAAGTGCATAAGTCCTGTTCTGTTTAACTAAATGATAACAATAATGATGTATGCCACAGTCACACTGACATATTTTGGTTCTCGTAAGCATTTGCAGTTCCAAATAGTAAATTAATATATAGATGAAGTACTTCACAATTTAAGCTGCATAATTTGACAGACATTTATGTAACAACATATTTTTTTGAAATTATTAAATAAGAAATTATGTGTATTGATCAATTGATTGACATTACCAAGTTAGGTGTCCTTGTGCACTTTGAGTTTGCTTGTTTTCTTGCAGATGTATCATTACCCTAACTAGGTAACATTATCAGTGCTAGTAAGGAGTGCTATTTGCTGTTCGCTTATATTCTGGTGTCTTGCCTGTCTGGGTGGATTCTTTGGTTGGGCTGTTTACTAATGACTCAGAGCCATTAGTAAACTGCCCAACCAAAGAATCCCTAAGACCGCCTTCACCCATCCAGACAGACAAGACTCCAGAATATACACTGATAGCAAAGAGCACTCCTTACTAGCACTGATGATGTTACCTAGTTAGCGTAATGAAACGTCTGCAAGAAAACAACCAAGCTCAGAGTGCACCAAGGACCCCTCATTTCAACCCTGAGCTACAAATATTCTCCTTCATTGATTATCAAGTTAAGTTTATCTTACAGCTTTTGTATTTTTATCCATCTGCATCAGTATCTAGTGCATTTTCTTTTTTTCTCCTTTACAATATATATATATAGGGTACATTTAAAAAAGTTTTCAGAATTGGCATACTAAAAACATGAAAACAGTTTTTACTCCTATGTGTCATTGGAATAAAATAATAATCTGAAAAGCAATTTACAAATGCTTCCAATTCTAAAATTTTAAAACAATTAAAATATCAAAACAATAAAAACATCCACAAAAATAATTGTTTTTATTTCAATGTTTGTCTTTACAGGATAACAGTGAATCATTTTTATGGAGTACTACCACTCCTTCAACTACATCTAGTAAAACCACTATGTTTATCTCAAGTACAGTTGTTCCCAAGGCAATGAGTTCAGTTTGGAATGAACCTGTCAGTTTTGTCGTGACTAATCTTAGGCCATACACAACTTATCTTTTTGAAGTTTCAGCAGTAACCACTGAAGCAGGTTATATTGACAGTGCAATTGTCAGGACACCAGAATCAGGTACATATTCTTCAGGTAACAAAGTTAAGAATGGAAATCAATATGGAAAGCATTTGCAATTGGCAAAGCTTGAAAAAATGCCTTTCAGAATGTATCCTAGGATAATTTATCTTCCAGAAATATGTTTTTGGGTATGTTGCTTTTTGTCCTTGTATAAGGAATGGATCAAGTTTTATTGAACCTGGGATTTAAGAAAATAAGAGGTATGGGTGTCAGTGAGAAATCTGAATGAAAATTGTGGCTGGTTCAGTGTAGGTATTTGCATTTTATTTAATCATATAAGACACTTCATCTGAAGCATATGGAAACAAAACAATTTTTTGTAATAAAAATTTAATTATATTGAAGTTTGTAAATCTGCATGATATACATTATCTTATAGACCAGGGGTGTCAAACTGCCGGCCCATGGGCCAGATGCGTCATGCTGAAACCGCGTCCACCCCAGCTCTGGCAATGGGGAAAAAGTCGCGATACATCACAACACATCACGTGACGTGGCAAGTTTGACACCCCTGCTATAGACCAATGACTAGATTTCTTATCTCTCCCTGAGTCTTTACAGGCAATTTCTCAAGCCCATACATGAAAGGGCAGGGGGCATATGAAGTACAAATTAGTATTTGAAATTATCAATGTCAAAAATAATAAACTAATCAATTAAAGTATAATGAAGAGAATTATAGCAGAATACTTTTCCATGCTGCTTATTACACTTTGATTTCAACAAACAAACAATAGAGAGAAAGGTAATTTGTAATGAGAATAGTGGTCTATGTATTCTGTCTTAATTTCAGATCCAATTTCAAATCCAATCTGATTAGGATTTGAACTGTGCTACATTTCCCTAATCTCCACTGTCTTTTCAGTCCATATTGCCCTGTTTCAGAAAGATCCATTTCCTTAAAATAGATGGAAATATATACTTTACAATGCTACTAAAGCACATGTTTTCCTCTAGTTTAAGAAAATAGGGCTTAATATTGGTTTTTTTCCATAATTGAAGAATTTTTTTTTGTAAATTTGGGACAACTTAGGATATTTTTACAACTAAGTGACCAATTTTACTTTCCATCTATTCAAGTCAAAATGCTTAGTAACTAAATCACAAATAAAAAACAAAGCAACTATATGTTAAATAAGTGAGCACTTGCCATTTTTATATCCAAAATATGCTGTTTGAACCATCTACTTCACTAAAGATAGCACTGGCCTTGCAAATTAATTGATAATGTTCCTTGGGTAAGATGTATTTCTTGACAGAACTGCTGGACTTAATTATCCTATTTCAAGGATAGCTGTTTTTATAACAATGTACTTGATGCCCTTATATTTGGCAAGATTTATAAAGAATGATAAATAATCTCTAGAAAGCATAGATCAGGCTTTGGATAAGATTTATTTCTATTCTTTAACAGCTGTTCTCATTTTGGCAGCTAGTATAATACAAAATATTTGTTCTTTTTATGACCACCAGTGCCTTTAAATAATGTCGTGTTTGACCTAATCTTCATTACAGTTCAAGCAGCTGAAGCATTTTGTCAGCTGTGTAAAAATAGCAATAGGTTAGGGATATCACTAACAAAGTTAAAAGTTGAAGCAAATATTCAAGGCAGTTTAAATGCATAACCAAGATTATTTTTAGAAAGTGATGTCTAAAGTTTGGCTTTCAGTTGTTTTTTGAGGCTTCTAATAATGTATTTTATACTTAAACGTTTATTGGCCAATAAAATAGGAAGATAGTGTAATTGTATCTACCTTATTTCAACAGAGTGCCTAAAATTTGATTTGAAGGCTTAAAGTTCATGTATTTGAGAGAAAATATTAATATTAAGAATGAAACAGGGACACGCATACAAATTATGGACAAACCTACACAAGCTTTTTATTTAGAATAAAGTAAAATAAGCTCTGCCTTATTATTAAACATATTTGATTATATTCAATTGATTTTTTTTTAAAAAGTCATGATATGCTATGAAGTCATTTTTGACTCTTAATGACCACATCTATAAATTTTTCTCCAAGAGAAATAATTTAATTTGTATGCCGTCCAACTCCTAGCATCACTAGGCAGCTCACAACAAACAAATTACAATAAAATATAAATGACAGTGCAACACATAGAATAAAACAAGGGATGTCAATCTCCTTTGCTAAGGATCTTGACAGACTTGAACATTGGGCGCTATCTAACAAAATAAAATTCAATGGTGAAAAAAGTAAAGTTCTACATTTAGGCAAGAAAAACCAAATGCACAGATACAATATAGGTGGTACCTTGCTCAACAGTAGTAACTGTGAGAGTTACTATTGTTGTTGTTGTGGTGGTGGTGATGGTTATTCCAGGGTCCCAATAGATGACATTACTTAATCAAAGGAACCTGGAGTGTCTCAGTTCTGTAAAATCAAATTGACTGAGCAGATACACTGGAAAAGAAGCAGTTCCTCAAATAAGCAGATCCTATGCCATTCAAGGCTTTGTAGGTCACAACCCAAACCTTGATGGGCACCTGGAGACAAACTGGCAACTTGTGCATATCACGACATGTCCATACTACACGCAATGGGCTTGGTTTTCCATTCCTGCTTTCCCTGGAACCTCTTTAGGCCCATCCAAATCCATATTTAGGTAATTGGGGGAAGGTTCGGGAATGGAAATACAAGAATGGACACCTGGGAATATGGAAGTAGAATGATTGATCCAGCCCATTGCCTTTTTCATCTTACTGCCACAGTAAAGTATTTTGCCCAAAAAAATGAAGTCTTTTTTCATACCCATAAAATCCCAGAAATTATTTTCTTTATATAAATTCCTTAACTAGGTGCACAAAAATCTGCCATTTTATATGTTGGCATATTAGGAATGCTCATTTTAATTTGAATTCCACTGAGTATTATATCTCTTGATGTGGATTGCCACTGTATTGATTTTCTGGTAGTTTTATTATCAGGATGAATTTTAAAAATAATTGCAGTAATGAAAAGAAACTAGGAGGATACAATTCAGATTTTATGAAATAAGTATTCCTATATGTTTTTTTAAATTTAGTTCCAGAAGATCCTCCTCAAAATCTTGTCACGGGAAATGTTACAGGAAAATCTTTCTCAATTTCATGGGAGCCACCAAACATTGTTACTGGAAAGTTTACTTACAAAGTGGAATTATATGGACAAACTGGTAAATCAATTAATTTGATTTTCTATTATTTTATTTACATGTTTCATAATCTACTGTGTTTAGTCATTAATTGGTTCATAAAACTAACTATTAGCGCTATACAGTTATAACATTTATTTATATATCATCATACTACTTCTTTTGGGGATAACTAACATTATCCAGAACTCAGACTAAGAAATAATGAGCAAAGATATAGAAAAGAAAAAAATACCTAAATTTACTTTATACCAACACCATTACCTCTTAATATCTTTCTAGCCTTGCTAACCATTTTTATGCCCACCATATCATTTGTTCTTTAAACTCTTTTTCAGGATTTCATTAACTCCATCCAACCATTATTTTCTGCATTTTCATCTTCCTCTTGGTGCATTCATTATTTTCTTATTTTTAACCTATTTTTGAGGTAACAAAACGGCCCCTCAAAAATTAAACATCTCTGGAGATTTCCAATTTGACGTCGTAGCAACACGGATGCAGGAAGGCAGGGCTCTGCTTTCTGTGCCTGATTTCGCCCTGCTGAGGGCCCTAAAAGGGCCTAAAATCATCCCGGAGAGGCAATGAAGAAGGAGGGGTACCTCGTTGATCACGGAGAGATGGCGGTCGATCCGTTTGATCTGAGGAAAGCCCTCCAAACTGGCAGGGGAAAGAGTGACTGCATTCCTGTGGCCAGCCTCCAGCTACTGACAACCAAAGAAAGAAGCACTAATTAGCAGATCGTAAACAGCATGTTTGGAACTGGGTGAGAATATTGATCCTTTCCTTACTATTTTACAACTGGATTTCCTGGAAAAGGCTCCCAAGAAGCTAAAAACCTCCAAACGTGAGAAGGAAGGGGATTGCAGCCCCATCCTTCCAGAGGAATGGAAGTGACATTTTAATTTTTTTATGGGGGACAGAAATATTTAACACTGAAGTGGAAGTAATATAAAGCTTAGTTTTGACAAATTTGACAACTGAGAAAATTGTTAAGATTTTCTCTTTGAAAGAATACTGGGTGAAATACAAGAAATCAACCTTCTGTTTTGAGAGTTGGAAAATGGATATTTAATGACATCTAGTGGTGGATGAGAATATAGCACCACAGCTGCAATGACTGAGGCAGACCTGGCAAGAAGCCTAGAAATAGATAACAACCTAGCTTCTTTGTTGTTTGGTGACTTTTAACTCAACAGAGAACAGCTGGCATCAGAGAAAAATATCTTGACGTACTTACTACAATGTGAGAACTTAATTGTTTTGAAATCTATTGACCTTCTTGGATTATAAACATATACTGAGCACTGACTTTTAATCTTAAGAACCATTTGGAGAGAAAGAAAAACTTGACTTCTGGCTATGTTTGTCTGGGGGAGGTTTTTGAATTGGTCTTAGGGTGGTTGAACATTTTGGATTGTAAATCTTGGCTGATTGACAATTTCTGGATGCTTGAGCAGAAGGACTATTATAAAACATTGCTTTCAGTAGTGGACTTATATCCTGGAACCTATTGGATTATAAAGACTACATATAAAGATCAGAAGAACCAGATAAGACTTTGTTCTATGGACATTAAAATTGGTGATATTAGACAAGACTTAGATATTAGACAAAGCATTTGGGGATAACAACACTTCTGATAGAATATCTGGAGGGGAAAAATAAAATGGATCCTTTATGTTTAGCCAAAAGTGGTAGGAAAACATACTTAATACTTCCATCTAAAGCCCCCAACCAGGTCTACCAGGAGTAATGCCTCAAGAAGAAGCAAACATTTTCCAGAAGGAAATACATTCTATGCTACAATTAATTCAGGAGACAATTATTTCACACAAGGAAGATGCAAGAAGAAACCATGATGAGATTAAAAACAATTTTGAAAATATAAATGAGCAAATCTCTAACAACTACAAAGAATGAACAAACAAGTTAGAAAACAGAAGATGAATTAGAGGAAACTGATCCAAAGACTCAAGATATAAAAGAAGAGAAACATAAACTGACAGACAAATAAAAAACTGCAAACTTGTGGGAAAGAAATTGTAAGTTGACAATGTCAACCTCTTATAAAGAAAACTTATATAAAATGTTTTATAGATGGCATCTATCACCAGCAAGATTAGCAAAAATGTTTAAAACTATGTCAGATAAATGTTGGAAATGTAATCATAAACCAGGTACTTTTTATCATGTTTGGTGGACATGTGTTAAAGCAAAGAGATATTGGACAAAAATACATACTTGGCTAGAAAAGATGTTGGGGAAACAGTTTTTAAACCTGAACTCTTTTTATTAGGCATAATGCCAGAAAAACTTAATAAACAAAATGTATATTTGATTTTGCACATAATAACAATTACATTCACATAATACTGGAAAAATGAAGAACTACCACCAGAGGAAGAAATAATTAAAAAAAATACTAGACTGTGCAAAAATGGACAGACTTACTTTGAGGTTGAAAGAAAAAGAAGAAACAGAATATTTTCAAACTTGGGACTTATTTTATCAATGGTTGGAGAAACAAATTAGGGATTAGGAATTTAATTTGTATTAGTGAATGATAAACTCAGACAACATGTTTGTTGAATAAGCACTGTTGAATTGTATTAAAAAATCAACAAAAACTAATAAAAAATCTGCAAGACATAGTTACAACAATGGAAATGGAAAAGGCACCCTATTCTTTAGGTTTTCAAAATATACCTGAGGATAAGGAAGAAGATTTAAAAAAAACGGATTATAAAGCTATTAGGGGAAATGCTAGAAATTGGGAGACAAAAAATGAAAAGAGAAGTTGAGGAAGAAGGAAAGTGGGAGTTGTTTAATGAATACAACTGGGTAGAATTCCCCTCAAAAATACCTTACTTAAATTGTTCTTCCCATTCCAAGCAATATTCACAAAAACAGAGGAAGAATTTTTTGGTGATTTAATTACTTTGGCTGGAAAGCCAACTGGCAAAGGAAGAAAGCTAGAGTTAGACTAAAAAAACAGAAGATCTGACATACCAGACAGGGTATTATATGATCCAATATTGGTTTGAATATGGTAAAAAGTATAGCTAGCACATAGATATAAATAGATTTTTATAATAAGAAAGATATGATTTATAATTAGAATAGTACCCTTTTTTGATATGGGAATTATAAAAACAGTAGGATGGCTTGTATAAATGAAATTTATACATTTGTAACTAATTTTGTTACACAAATGTAACTAATTTTGAGAAAATCATAACTGACAAAGATATTTTGAATACTGGTGGGAAATTAAACTTAAATAAGAGCTCGAAAAACAGACATTGATTTAATAAGGAGACTTTAATTGCAATTACAATTTAAATATAAAGTAGTTAGAAAAGATATAATACAATTTAAATATAAAGTGGTTATAAATTGGTACTATTGTTATTTGTATAACACTAGAAAAATATGAAGAGGATGTATATACCTAATTTTGTATGCATTAATAGTAGTAAGAATTGTATTTGTTCAATGTTGAGAAAATGAAAACACTATGGGAAGAAGAGAGAACCAGGGGGAAAAAACACTATTGTGTAGCATTGAACAGATTTATATTGAAGAAGTTAAGATGCAACATTGAGTTTCAAATTTACCCGGACATCACGTTGTTTACTAAGCACTTATGATTTGTAATAATAGAAAATGAATTAAATTATTTATTTTTTAAAAAACATCTCTGGTTCCATGCAATCCTCATTCCTAGACACATAACCAGCTCTTAAGGGCCTTTTGGAATATCAAAAGAACTGGGCTGATGTAGGTGGGGAAAGGCAATCCCTCAAACAGCCCATTCCCATGCCATGAAGGGCTTATTGTGTTAATCTTCCAGGCAATGATAATCACCAGATGAGTCATAAGTATTGGTATATGCTACCCATTGTGACTTTGATCAGTCAATGTGCTCATCTAACATTTTTAGTAAGATAAAGAAACTATAGATTAGGTTACTATCTTTAATCATACATTAAGGATACATGCACTATGCCCTGTTAACTGAAAGGGTAATATCAATCCATTTTGCCAGTATACCAAAATTGCAGGTAAAACTCAGATTTACCCTAAACCTGCTTGTTCTAGTCAGTGCATGGTCAAATCTTTAATCTAGTAATTATCCTGCAAGCCAACATAGTATTGTCAATTAAATTATATGCAGAGTACTGACATAATTAAGTATGTAGTAACATTTAATTGGATTAAACTGACAGGATACATCTTTTGTCTTTCATCTTTTTACCAAGTGTCATAAAAATATTCATTCACATGAAGCTGACATATCTGATCAGTTTATAATACTTGCCTGTTTCAGTTTTCTTTAACATAATCAGGATAAAAATTCTTTTAAAATAATTTCAAAGAGCCTAACTATCTGTTTTTGATATTTTTAAATGATTATTTCAGTTCGTATTTTGGATAACAGCACAAAAGATCTCAAGTTTACATTTAATAATCTAGTACCATTTACATTATATGATGTGTTTGTTGCTGCTGAAACAAGTGCTGGAGTGGGTCCAAAGTCAAATATAACAATTTTCACACCTGCAGGAGGTAAGCTATATATGTCATAGAAATATATAATTTTAATACAATGTATTCATATTTTAATATGGACAGATAATGTTGACAAATGCAGCCCATGGAAGATGTGGGTGTGTATTTGTGTGCAGCTCTAAATGTTGAGTAACATTGGATCATTTGCTTGCTTCCAAGAACAATGGAATAAATGATAATGGTATAAATAAGAATGAGTCTTCCATTAGTTTCATGGCATTCCTTAGCAGTTGAAATTGTATGTAAAATTCAGCAGGTTCTCTGATAATATTTAGAAGTCAGACTGGATCATTGTTGTTGTTGTTGTTATTGTTGTTATCTATTAAGGATTATTATTGTTGTTGTTTTGTTGTTGAAAGATGAATTAAACAGTCTTAGTTTATTCTGTCCCAATGGTTAGGACAGCACAACTACTTGGCCACTAGATGGCAGTAAGTGATTACAATAAAAAGTTTGTTTACTAAAGAAGCTGATTACATTACAGATTCTTTTAATTGAAATTACTTCAATTTTCATATGATGCATTAATGTGTAAAATTTTCACTTCAAAAGCAAGATGTGTATTAATTGTTTCTAAGCTGTTCTTTCCATGCACTTTCCCCCACCCCCAGTTCTTTTACAATAAATGGAAAGTAATCATGAAGACAGTCTCTGCTATCCAACTTCCAGAGGATATATCTCAACTGCAAAATTATACCTACAGGTGCATAGCTAAAATGCTGTCAAGAGCAGTTCTCACTGGGGAGACGGCTTTAGGGAGATGTGGCATTTCACTCAATATTCCTTGGGCAGAATGATGAGAATGGATGAGGTCCACAGACTGGAAGTTCATCAGCCCCTAACTAGATTAAAAAACAAGAATGGTGGGAATAGTCATCAGTAGATTAGCAACACCTGGTTAAGCTTGGAAGCTAAACTTGGAGAATGTCTGCACTGTAGGCTAGAAGAAGACAATAGTAAATTCCCATAGTGTTCTTGGCAACACTGTAGACATTTGCTGTATCCATCAGAATTATGTAGCTTCAGATAAATGTTTCTTTTATAGATACTATTAATTTTAAGATTAAACATTTTCTAATGCTTGCTGTTCTGTAATTTTACTATATACATTACATTTCAGTTCCAGGACCTGTATTTGATTTGCATGTAGTAGAGGAAGCAGCGACCTTTGTCAGAATTGCTTGGAAAAAACCACAGCAATCAAATGGAATCATCACTCAGTACCGAGTTAAAGTTTCACATGAGGAAGCAGAGGAGATCCTTGAAGATACAATTCTAACAGAGAAAATTAAGGTACTTTAATCCCAATTCATGCTTACCTACATTTAATATTTTCACATTTTCCCTTTGTCTTCATTCCTATCGCTAAAGTTAAAAAATGGAAAGTTATTTCTTTCTTCTTTCTATGTTAGGATTTTACTGAATCTGGGGATACAGATATGATAAAAGAATATGCATTATCTTCCTCACTGAATAAAATAAAAACAGTGACCAGTTTATATGAAGGTTCAGCTGAAATCTTCCCAAGAGTACATGAATTTTCTCCAGTAAAATACACTGTTGATAATTTTCCTGTTGATAATTTTCTAACTTTAAATGATGAGGCGGAACTATATTTAAATTCTGGTAAGTAGGAAAAAAGTTGTTTTCTATAGCTACTTCATTGTTCAGACCATGGCTATTACATGAATTATCTTTAGCAAAGAGTTCAGTCATCTTGTTAGTGGGCATTTGCTGATGTCACATTCTGCAAATGGAGAAATACCACACAAGCAGAGCTTAGTAGCCCCTTGTCACCCAGTTGACCTCTCTCCCAGAGAAAGAAGATGCCAAACCCATTGCACAAGCTGCATAGACAATCAGTTATTACAGTTGCCAAAGCAGGTGTGATTGGAAGAGATTAACATATCTCTATGTCCCGTGCAGACCTTTAATTTTTCCCCCAATAGTTTTTGACAAATGGGCTTCCAAATGTCACTGAAGGTAAATAGGTCAAAAAGGTACAGCTCAGCAACATGGGGCAACCAACAGGTGGAGGTGACCCTTTGACACAGTGATGCCATTAGTACATTCACTTACATAGCATTATCAAAGGAGCATTTTTGTTACTAAACACAGATATTTATGATCCATTAAATGAAGCTTGGCTGACAGATTTAAAAATGTTCTGAAATTTTAAAAGGGAGTCATTAAATGAAACAGAACAATTATTCTGGTGTTATTTTCATTACATTGAATGCTAGTGGTAAATAAAATCATTGCTGGAAAGTTATCTTCATGATTCTTAGCTATTATTTTTGTTTTACAGTGACTGTTCAAAAACATATTTTTCATTTCCAATATCTAAGATTACCTTTCTTTTTTGCACTGATGCAAACATGCTTCAGAAATGAAAGCAATCTGTTTTTGTAAACATATGTAAGTTTATTTTGGAATAACATCCATTGAATCTAGTACTATTTCTTCTTCATTAAATATGCATAGAAACAACATTCCTGTTTTTTATTCTTTCCTGTGCAATGAATGTCCTCATGCTGATCAATTTTGCAGTTATTTTGATACTGACCATTTAACATAAACATGCAAAAACTGCAATCTTATACCATTTTTGTAGAAATAATATCCTCCGGACTAGTCCTAAATTAGAAATGTGTATGACTGATTTTACTTTTTTTAAAATATGAAACATTTGATACCATCAATCTTTCAGTTGAGCAGCTGTCATATCGTGTAAATGGACTCCAGCCTTTCACTAAATATGCAATTGCTGTGTCTGCTTTTACCATCATTGGAGAAGGACCACCAGCTATTCTCATTTCTAAGACAAGTGAACAAGGTAAAATTTTTATAACAGAAATATTATCATGTTGGCAGTATTTAGTTTCTTTCAGTTTTTCTAAATGTAAATTTCTAAATGAATTATTCTTTTTGTAGTTCCAAGTTCTGTGGAAAATATAAATTATAAAAATATTAGTTCATCTTCAATTTTGCTCTTTTGGGATAAACCATTAAATCCCAATGGAAAAATCACACATTACACAGTTTATGCCATGGAGGTGGATACCAACAGAGCTTTTCAACTGACTACATCAGAAAAACACATATTGATTACAGGTGGGATGGTTTTTATATATATATATATAAATAAAGAGAGAAACAGAAAGAAGGAAGGAAGAAGGGACCAAGTGAGAGTGTGAATGAATGTTGAGAAATATAAGTTAAAATAGAATTCTGTAGAAGTTACTTATGTCAAGTTGTGGCATGATTGTACTTTACCTTAAAAATATATTCTTTTTCTCTCTTTACATATTTTTCCACATTCCACAATTGTAATACATGACTAAAAAGAATTTGATCAAGTAAAACCATAGTGAATACATTCATTATTATCATTATATTATTATTGCTCTTCTTAAAATTACAAATTAAATAAAAAAACATGAATGCAAATCAAACAAAGTATGAAAATTAAAAAAAATTAACAAGCTAACATGCATAGGGAGAAAGAAGAAAAAGAAAAGGATAGATGCTTTGTACATGCCACATTATTATAAAGATTACAGACTAAAAGAAGTGCCACTTCAAAGACTAAGAATTGACAATTTTTATTAAGCCACACTTTAGCATCTGGTAGTTCCAATATTGACAAGGCCAAATTTACATAAATGGAGCCAAATAAATAAATTCCAGATATATGTAATATGATTTAATTGCCCATCACTGAACCTTACTTCAATGAAATAAGAATATACAACAAAGAAGGAGCTATAGGTGGAAATAATTATCCTCATTCCTCCAAAAGTGGTTCCAGTCAGTATTGATGGCAGGAGAGGATAACAGCTCCAAGCCTGTCCCGTGAGTTATGGGTTTTCTCAGGGCTCATTACTCTTTCCATTCTCTTTAACATCTACAGTATATGAAACTGCTGGGTGCGATAATTCAATGGCAATAGAGGTACCATCAAGGTGCTGATGATACTTATTTGTACATCTTGGCCCAAGTATGGCCATTGTATACTGTGGAGGTTCTGTCTTGGTATCTGAAGGCTATGGGACCTTGGATGGGGAAGAACAGGCTTCAGTTCAATCTGAGCAAGAGAGAGTGGTTCCTGGATTTGGTAATTTTTCCATCTTTCCATCTTTCTGGATGTAATGGTACTCTCCCGGCCATAACCAGAGTACAATTTGTGGATCTTCATGGCTTCTGTTCAAAGATCAGATGATAGCCATGGCCAGGAGGGCTTTTGTCCAAATCTTTGTTGGGTAACAATTGAGCCCTTTCCTGGACCAGACATTTTTTAGTCCTTATGCTTCTCTTATTCTTCATTCTTATTTATTATATCTTGTTATTATATTAGGGTTTTTATTGTGTTGGCTGTCCAGAGTTACTTATATGAGATGGGTGGCTATGTAAACCTAATAAAAATATTACACATTCAAAATAAAGACAATAATCAATCTTTTAAAAATGTGTTGAGAAATCCAATAAGTGCAAAAAATATTTGGAGTGTCAGCTAAAATAAACATTTTGTACATATGTCAATATAATATCACCAACTGGAAAATATTTAATGTATTTCAGCTTACCGTATATTTGGACTAGTCACATTGTTATACTGGCAATACAAATCTAGGTAAAAATCTTTGATAAATAAAATAAAATATCAAATCTTTGATAAGTAAATAAAAATGCTCACAGTATCATTAGTTTATGTTTGATCCCTCCCACTGAACATCCTGAATATCACTAGTTTGTAATATTAAATAGGACAAAGTTCCTAACATCAAAATAAACAAAGTACAACTTAATTGCAGGAGAAATAAGCCACTTATAAATAAATATATAATAGCATGAGTAGAATAATTAGAACAGCAATATTTTAACCATGAAATAAATTTAATAATCCATTTTAATTAACTCATCACAACACTTAATTTGCACATATGAAAGATAAGAAACCCCCCCCCCCCCAAAAAAAGGAAAATGTCAAAATACTGAACTAGCCAATATCAGGGTTTTTTATTTTTTATTTTGGACCATTAAAAATTAAAATCAAGCCTAAAATGTAAAATTAAGAAAGCATTTTAGAGGCATTTTAATGGTTCAAGATCACATGCTAAATGTTTCTCCATACAGTACTTTTATATAATATTTAATATTTGTTCTAAAGTCCTTATGTGTGCAACCTGCTAGAAGAAATATCTTGAAAGCAAATTTCTCCAATATCTATTAGAGTAAACAAAAAATATGTAAAAGTGCCCAAATGAAGGCACAGTAAATTTCATTTATAGATTTTGTTTTTCTTTGTTAGACTTAAAAAAGTACACAGATTATAAAATGAGGGTAACAGCTTCCACAACTGTTGGAGAAAGTGCACTTTCTGAAGACAATGATATTTTTATAAGAACACTTGAAGATGGTAAGTACGTTGTTTTCATATTGATTTTATAATTTCAGTTTGATCAATTATGGTTGATTTATCTAAAATGCCCATTAAGCAATAAATTTATACAAATAATAAATAGACATGTAAGCCATGTCTGTTTTTTACATATAAATCTGATCATTTTTTTGGGGGGGGGAGCAGATTCCAACTTCTCTTGCTGTTTAGTATGACTAATTAATACTTCATATGTCAATTTTAAAAAGGTGTTTTGCAAACAACATCGTAAGCAATTTCTTAAAGTTCTTTAGACAAAATTCTTTTTCTCCCACTAAGATAAGAGACAGCACTAAATATTATTACCATATTAAATATATATTGACTAGCTTCAGGAAATTTTAATTCTTAACTTTAATTTATAAATGTAGCTGCAGAGTAATCAACTAAATAGCACAGTTTTAACTGTGAGAGAACGAGTAGAAAGTTACCACTGAAGGCAAATGTGGTATTAGAGTAGGCATCAGCATCAGTGATATGAAGGTCTGTGTAGTGATGAAGTAAGTAGAGGAAATTGACAATGAGGATGAGAATCACGGAATTTCTGCTATTTTTAACAATTCTGAATTATGGCTTGCAATTTCCACTTATCACAACAGTTCAAAAATTATTGCATTTTGCTGCTGGTAATGGTGAAACTAGAGTATTTTGCACGAGACAATAGGAAAGAATGTAATGTGAGTATAGGACACAGATATATACTGTACAAGAACATATGTATGTGCACTTGTGTGTGCATGTAAATATGTAAGTATATTAGTGTGTTTGAGAAAAATGTTTATGCATGTGCATATGCTGAGATTGGATATACTTCCACATGTTTAAAGGTTGTACATTTGCATGTCCAAAAGTTGTTTTATATTTGCTCAAATATACACTGACAAATTTGTTCCCAAAGGTTTCATTTGGCAACTATTAAGTCTTTAATTCACAAAAGGTTATCTAATCTTGGTCTATATATTATAAAAATACAAAGAACACAAATTGATAAATTCTGTATTTTAAAATAGTTATGAATGAATGCACCCTAATACTCATTCACTTTTTTTCTGTTTTCTGAATGAAAGAACCCAGTTCACCACCTCAGAATGTTGAGGCATTAGAAGTGACTGCCTCAGAAGTCAACTTAAGGTGGTTACCACCTGAAATGCCTAATGGGATGATAACTCATTATGAAATCATGTCTGATAATGGCAGTATTTTAATAATTAAAAATGCTACAACAACACATCTTATTTTAAATGAGTTGAACCCATACACTTTGTATAACATTTCGGTAAGAGCATTCACTCGCCTCGGTCATGGGAATCAGTCATCTGACCCATTATCTGTAAGAACAGCTGAAACTGGTAAGTGGAAATACTAGAATATTCTTTTGTCCCTATGGATTCAATTTTAAATATATTGAAAAGCATATTTGAAAGCATGCAAATGCAATTAGATTAATAGGTACCACTTCGGTGTTTCATGCATTTTTGGAGCATAGCATGCTGGTCACATGACCATGAAAAATGTCTTCGGACAATGCTGGCTCCCTTGGCCAAGAAATGGAGATGAGCACCATGCCCTAGAATCAGACACAACTGGCAGGGAAACCTTTACCTCTTTAAACATAATTAGGTTACAAATTACACATATCTACATTTGAATGTGACATGATGCCATGAAGCATTTCTCAAAATATCTGATGACCATAGCAAAGTATCTTGCTTGATGATCAGAGTGAGTCCCTTTCAATTAATGTTTTGATTACATCAGTATGAAACATCAAAACATCAAAAAAGTTCAATCCATGCTATTTTTTTGTTCTTGTTTTACAATTTGGTATTATTAAGAAGTTTTCCAATTATATACATTATATACATATAATCCCATTTTTATCATGTTTAGTTTTATATTTGGAATCATGAAGCCAAAGGCCCAAATGAATAACAAGGCAAGTTGGAGAATAGCAGCCGTAACAGAGAAATGCAATTCCTAAATAAAAACTTCCTGACTGTATATTAAAATAAATATGTAGTTCCCCATATATTACCTGGGGGAGGTGGGTAAGTAACTAGAATAGGCACTGGTGGGATTCAAATATGTGAACAACCGGTTCTCTGTGTGGATGCCATTTCCGGAAGTCCGTTCTGGGCCTGGGCAACAAAAAATTAGCTACTGGTTCTGCCGAACTCGTGCGAACCGGCTGAATCCCACCACTGGGTGTAGAATTATGTACAAGCATTTTTTTTCCTTTTAAAATATTTTTCCCATTTTTTGCTAAAAAGCATTTTCTATGTGTTTTTTTCTTTCTTTTGACAAAGTATGTATTTTTTTGATAATTATGTTTGCACTTTTTTCCTTTTTGTCACTTATTTTAAAAGCAATAAAATAAATAAATCAGGTTAATATAAGCGATGGAATGTAGATTAGCTGAATTTGAAATTAAAGAAAATTAAGGAACTGAGGAAAAGTGTACCTCTGTTTTTATTTATTAAAGGTAAACCAAATCTTTGATGGTTCATTGCTTGCTAATTCATTGCTAATCAGTTTAATAATAATAATAATAATAATAATAATAATAATAATAATAATAATAATAATAATAATAATAATAATAATAATAATAATAAGTAGTAGTAGTAGTAGTAGTAGTAGTAGTAGTAGTAGTAGTAGTTGGAAGGGATCTTGGAGGTCTTCTAATCCAACCACCTGTTCAGGCAGGAAACTATACCATTTCAGGCAAATGGTTGTCCAGTCTCTTCTTAAAAACTTCCAGTGTTGGAGCATTCATAACTTCTGGAAGCAGGTTGTTCCACTGATTAATTGTTCTAAATGTCAGGAAATGTCTCCTTAGTTCTAGGTTGTTTTTTTCTTTGATTAGTTTCCATCCATTGCTTCTTGTCCTACGTTCAGGTGTTTTGGAGAATAGCTTGAGTCCCTCTTCCTTGTGGCAACCCCATGAGATATTGGAACACTGCTATCATGTCACCCCTAGTCCTTCTCTTCATTAAACTAGATATACCGAATTCCAGCAACCGTTCTTTATATGTTTTAGCCTCTAATCCCCTGATCATCTTTGTTGCTCTTCTCTGTACTCTTTCTAGAGTCTCAACATCTTTTTTACATTGTGGTGACCAAAACTGGATGCAGTATTCCAAGTGTGGCCTTACCAAGGCGTTATAAAGTGGTATTAACACTTCACGTGATCTTGATTCTATGCCTGTTAATGCAGCCTAGCACTGTGTTGGCTTTTTTGGCAGCTGCAGCACACTGCTGGCTCATATTTAAGTGATTGTCCACTAGTACTCTCATATCCTTCTCACAGTTACTACTATTGAGCAAGGTACCACTTATAGTGTACCTGTACATTTGGTTTTTCTTGCCTAAATGTAGAACCTTATTTTTTTCATCACTGAGATAGACCCCAATGTTCAAGTCTGTCAATATCCACAGCATTCCTCTGGTCCACTAACTTTATCACCTCATCAAAGAATACAATAAGATTTGTCTGGCATGATCTGTTTTTGACAAACCCATGTTGCTTTTGACTATGACTTTGTTTGCCTCTAGGTGTTCGCTGATTCGTTGCTTGATTATCTTTTCCAGAATCTTCCCAGGTATTGAGGTCCGGCTGATAGGTCTGTAGTTTCCTGTACCCATTTTTCCCCTTTTTTTGAAGATGGGAACTACATAGCTCTTTTCCAGTCCTCTGGTAGTTCCCCAGTGCTCCAGGATCTTTGAAAGATATAGGTCAGTGCCTCTGAGATCACAACTGAGATCACAGTGCTTCAGAACCTTGGGGTGTAATCTATCTGGTCCTGGTGATTTGAACTTGTCTAGAGTGGACAGGTGCTCACTTACCATTTCTTGCCTATTTTAATGTGTTTTTAATCTGTTTTTTATGGTACTGTTTTTGATAGTTTGTGTAAAGTCGGATGCAAAAAACAAGTTAAGTAGTTCTGCTTTCTCTCTATTTCTTGTCACCTTCTTGCCACTTTCTCCCATTAATGGACCAATAGTTTCCTTAACCTTTTTCTTGTTTTTTACATGTTGAAAGAAGCTTTTTTGTGTGTGTGCTATTTTTGACTTTTGTCCCAAACCTTAGGTCATTTTGAGCCTTAGCTTTCCTCACTTCATCTTTGCAGGCTCAGGCTATTTGCTGATATTCTGCCTTAGTTATGTGCCCCTCTTTCCACTTGCTATACTTGTAATAATAATGATAAAGTTGGAAGGGACCTCAGAGGTCATCTAGTCCAACCTCCTGCTCAGGCAGGAAACCCTATACCATTTCGGACAAATGGCTATCCAGTTTCTTCTTAAAAACTTCCAGTGTTGGCGCATTCACCGCTTCTGGAGGCAGGTTGTTCCACTGGTTAATTGTTCTAACTGTCAGGAAGTTTCTCCTTAGTTCTAGGTTGCTTCTCTCTTTGGTTAGTTTCCACCCGTTGCTTCTTGTCATGCTGGTTTCTTTTGAGAGCTGTTATTTTTCTTCTTCATTGGTATTGTGCTAGACTGGGCTTTTATTATCTCACTTTTCAAAATTTCCCAAGCTTCTTGAGTTGTTTTTCCCTTGAGGATTCTCATCCATGGAATCCTTCCCAAGTTCTCTCTAAGTTTATTGGAAATTAGCTCTCTTAAAATCCAAGACTCTAGTTTGACTATGTTCTATTGCTTGTGCTTGCATAGTGTTGAATTCAAATATTGCATAATCACTCCCCCCCAAGGTTCCTGTAGCTTCAACACCTTCTATCATTTTGTCTCTGTTAGTGAGAATTAGATCCAATATGACTAATCCCCTAGTTCCCTTTTCTACTTATTGGGAGATAAAGTTGTCTGCCAGGTTTGTCAAGAATCTGTTTGATCTTCCACCTGGTGCACAGTTTGTCTTCCAGTTGATGTCAGGGTAAGTCCCCCATTACTATTGTGATGTGCTTCCTATATACCTTAATTAATTTACTAGCAAAAAGTTCATCTATTTTCTCTGTTTGGTTGGGCAGCCTATAGCATACACCTATGGCAATGTCATTCCCCCCCTTTTATATTAACCAAAATGCATTCAAGACAGTTTTCATCATTGTTGTGCTCTATTTCTGTAGAGATGTAGTTATTTTTTATATAGAGAGCAACTCCACCTCCCTTGGTCTATTTCTTTTAAATAATTTAAATCCCTCTAGCTGTATATTCCATTTGAAGGTTTCATCGCACCAAGTTTCCCTAATGTCAGCAATATCATATCTGCTTGTGCTTGCATAATGTTGAATTCCAATATTGCATGATCACTCCCCCCAAGTTTCAGACTATATATTGTTAATATATATTGTTGCTTTGTATTTAATTGGCTTACGTAATGTAATAGCATTTGACAAAAACTCAAAATAGCATTTGAGTTTCAGTTATCATTATATCTTTTAATTTTTTTTGTATGTAGTACACCTGTAGTACACAATTATTTAAAATTTGGATGTAATATTTTTCTCTGAATTCTTTAATTTCAGTACCTGACTTTCCACCCCAAAATATAACTTACAGGAACATGTCTTCTTCAGCAATAGAGTTATCATATTTTCCTCCATCTGTCCCCAATGGCATTATAAAGACATACACTATATATCTCAGAGTGATTAATGGAAGTGAAGTAAGAGTCATCAACACAACATATCTGTCCCTAAATATTACAGGTAATAACTATTTTGCCTTATTATTTTATATGACAGTAATCTAGTTGTGTTATGATGAGTTTGTATCAAATGCTATGTATGTATTTTTCATTATCAAATTAACAAATATTATCATACATATGGCATTAAACATGTGTAGGCAAATAATTCAATGTAATTATATGCAATATTTTCTATTGTTTTTCTTCTCTAAAATTAAGCAAACGTGCACTGATATAATCAGTGCTATATTTTATGTGCCAAATTTAATTACTATATTAAATAGAAGACTCTCAAACTACATTTTGACATGAAATCTAAATTTCATGTCAACTTCTGATCATTTTGAACACTTAAGAGAATTATTCATAGTTGTGACTTAAAAAAGAATTGAGTAGTATAAATGAGAGTTATGTTTTCATGTATTAATATATTTGATATATGAAATATATACTATATGTCAAATGTTTTAACTGTCCTTTGCTTTATAGGATTTTTATTTTGTTTATTAGTATACCATAGAAAATATCAAATATCTCTGAAAAATGAAAGACTAAAATTCAGGGCAATATTATAAATATATGTTTTCACGTTTTGTAGTCAATTTATTCTGTAAAAAACTTAATTTAATTTAAATTTTATAGAATTTCCATACATCTCTGTATATATTTTGTATAAATATAAAACTAACTTGTGGGATAAAGATATAAACTTTAGTGCCCAATCTAAATATTAATATTATTAATAGTATTTTAAATATTTAATTATTCTAAAATTGTCAGGGCCCACTTCAAAACCTCATCCTAAGAAAGCAGAACTCATGGAAGCAATTTCTTCCAAAAGGAACTTTTATTAGGAGAAGCTGATAGCAGGCATAACAGACAGGATCTGAGGGTTTCCCGCTAAGATCAATAGGTTAAAGGAGTCCCCAGCAAACCCCACCCCAATAGTTCATCCGGTCAGTTTGAATGGCCAATCCCCAGGTGTTAAGCTTGTTGTGGGAAAATGCTGATAACACCGGTCTGTCTCAGGGTTATAGCGGTGTTTGTTGTGTCTTCGCACCTTCCCTTCCGCACAGGAGATAAGCCAGATGCCCAGAGGCGCATTCTTTCCTCCCCCCTTTCTAGTTGACATCAAAGGAGGACAGTTCAAAGAGTGTGCATGCAGAGACAGCGAAAGAGTTACATTATAGCGATAGAAAAAAACAAAGAAGCAACCCACAGCGTCTTCCCCCCTCCCTTCCAGGAGTATGACAGAACCCAGAGGAATAGAAAGAATGGAGTTTAGAATCAGTATTAGAAAGAGCCCTTTAGGAATATGGGTTCTGACAAAAATATTACAATCAATCAATCAGAATAGAGCTGGAAGGGACCTTCAAGGTTTTTTAGTCCAACCCCCTGCTCAAGTAGGAGACCCTATACAATTTCAGACAAGTTGTCTGTCCAGTGTCTTTTTAAAAGCCTCCAGTAATGGAGCACCCACAACCTCTGAAGGCAAGCTCTTCCACTGGTTAATTGTTCTCACTGTTAGGAAGTTTCTCCTTAATTACACGTTGCTTCTCTCCTTAATTAGTTTCCATCCATTGTTTCTTGTCATCATTCAGATAAAGTTAGCATTTGTGTCAATAATGTGATTTCTGTGTCTATAAATTAAAGTCTTTATATTGTGCTTTTATAATTCAAGTCTTTTCTTTACATTGATTCATATGAAATTATTAAAATAGCATAAATAGCACCACACAAAAGGAATATAAGTGTCAGTATATACACATAACATGTATATTCTTTATTTAGGCTTAAAAAAATATACAAAATATCTGGTTGAAGTATCTTCAAGCACTGTAAAAGGTGAAGGACCTCAGAGTGCACCATTGGATATAATAACTGATGAAGATGGTAAGGTCTACATCACTGACTATTGTGTTGTTTTCATATCAGTTGGTTATGCTGGAGTGAAAGCGCATTATAGAAGGATATTAGCTACATACCCCCATCTGTAAGCTTAATGGAAGCTCAAAATGGTGTTAGTATTTAGGGGTGGAGAATTTTTTTGAACATGGGAACTTCACTTAATGGTTTTTTGGACCAGGGTGAGATTTGTAAAAATAGAAAAAAAAAAATTCTGCTTCAAAATAATAGAAAATTGAAATACAACAGTTCAATAGATAGGGAACAAGGTGCTTACAGTCCTCATTTTATTAGAAGGAGACTTTTCATAAGGCATAAGCCCTTTCTAAATAACAAGATCTACTTGTAATAAAATTTTAAGAGGCAGTGCAATGCAAGCAACAACAACAAAAAAAACCCAAACCAAATTAAAAGGTTTGGAATGTAATTTCTTGGAAGTACATACTGTTCTGACTGTTAGTCAAAATATTTCACAAATTCCTTCATAGCTGAGCACTTGTTTTCATTTCACGCATAACTCAAATGATATGACCTGCTTTAGGAATATGATGATAATTTATGTGATAAAATAAACTTCAATGGAATGATAAAATGCCTATATTTATCATGAAAATATCACTAAATAATAATGATAAATAAAATGATAATAGTGATAATATTTATCACTAAAACATTTGAGCATCTGATGCAAATGGCTATATTTATTATTTATAATAATATATATAATGAATATTCAATAATATGAATCCTGATAACATTTTTTTACTAATTCTAGTAATTAAAGTACTAATAAAATTAAAATATTTCATAATTTAAAACTTTGGTCAATTGAATCTAATTGGGGGGATTTTTTTAAATTTGGAATTGAAGCCCCAGCAGGTATTTTATAGAAGTGCACAATGACTTTTTATTAACACTTGTATAACTCATATAATGAATATGTATCATAACAGGACACATAAAAGTAAAATGGTGCACACAAGATTGCAATAAGTAAATAAACATTTATGAGTATGTGTTAGAATGTTGTTGTTGTTAGTTGCAAAGTCGTGTCCGACCCATCGCGACCCCATGGACAACGTTCCTCCAGGCCTTCCTGTCCTCTACCATCTTCAGGAGTCCATTTAAGCTCACGAATACTGCTTCACTGACTCCATCCAGCCACCTCATTCTCTGTCGTCCCCTTCTTCTATTGCCCTCAATCTTTCCCAGCATTAGGCTTTTCTCCAGTGAGTCCTTCCTTCTCATTAGGTGGCCAAAGTAATTGAGTTTTAACTTCCCGATCTGGCCTTCTAAAGAGCAGTCAGGGTTGATCTCCTCTAGGACTGACCAGTTTGATCGCCTTGCAGTCCAGGGGACCAGCAGGAGTCTTTTCCAGCACCATAGTTCAAAGGCCTCAATTCTTTTGTGCTCAGCTTTTCTTATGGTCCAACTTTCACAGCCATACATTGCAACTGAGAAAACCATGGCCTTGATTATACATACTTTTGTTGGTAAGGTGATGTCTCTGCTTTTTAGTATGCTGTCTAGATTTGCCATAGTTTTCCTCCCCAGGAGCAAGCGTCTTTTAATTTCTTGGCTGCAGTCCCCATCTGTGGTGATCTTGGAGCCCAGGAAGATAAAATCTGTCACTACCTCCATTTCTTCCCCATCTATTTGCCAGGAATTGAGAGGGCCGGATGCCATGATCTATTTAGAATAGATTCTCCTTATTTTTTTAATGCAGCTTATTGGTTTTGGACCAATTCAGGTTTTAAGGTTAGACTTGATTGTGGGAATTTATAATCCCGGGCTGTCTGTAGACATCGGGATCTCAAAGGAGGTAAAAAAAGGCATAGCAGAAATATTGAATAACAGAATAACAGAGTTAGAAGGGACACTGGAGGTCTTCTAGTTCAACTCCTTGCTGAAGCAGGAGACCCTAAACCAGAAATGTCAAACACAAGGCCCGGGGGCCGGATGCGGCCCGCGAAGTGGTTTCATGTGGCCCGCGAAGCCATCCTGGAAACAGTGAGGGAACGGCCCCCGCTGCCTTGGCCCTGGCCCAGGCCAGCTGGGAGCCAATGTACAATTTTGTGGTGGCCATCTTGGCGCTTGCCCCGGTGGACCATGCCTTGGCACTTGGCCTGGTCCCACCCCCTTCTGCCAGAGACCCTCAGATCTGTCCCACTCTTGCTCAGGCCCCCATAGGTACCCTTGATGCGAATGATGTAGAACTGGCCATGCCCACCCAGTAGGCCACACCCACTCCATCCACGCCTACCCAGTAGGCTGCACCCACTCTGGCCATACCCACCCATCCCCCCCAGGGCAACCGCAATGCTGATGCGGCCCTCAGTGAAATTGAGTTTGACACCCTGCCCTATACTATTTTGGACAAATGGTTGTCTAATCTCTTTTTAAAAACCTCCAGTGATAGAGCACCCACAACTTCTGAAGGCAAGCAGTTCCACTGATTAATTGTTCTCACTATGAGGAAATTTCTTCTTAGTTCTAGGTTGGTTATCTCCTTGATTAGTTTCCATCCATTGCTTTTTGTTCTACCTTCGGGTGCTTTGGATAATAGGTTGAGCCTTCCTCTTCTTTGTGGCAGTTTTTTAGGTATTGGAACACTGTTATCAGCTCACCCCTAGTCCTTCTTTTCATTAAACTAGATATTACCAATTCCTGCAACCATTTTTGTATATTTTAGCCTACAGTCCCCTAATCATCTTTGTTGCTCTTCTAGAGTTTGCTCTTCATCTTTGCACTCTTTCTAAAGTCTCAATGTCCTTTTTATATCATGGAAACTAAAACTGGATGCAATATTCCAATAGTGGTCTTACCAAGACATTATAAAATAGTACTTACACTTCACGTGATCTTGATTCTATCCCTCTGTTAATGCAGCCTAGGACTATGTTGATTGCAGCACACTGCTGGCTCATATTTAAGTGATTGTCCACTAGGACTCCAAGATCCCTCTCACAGTTACTAATATTGAGCCAGGTACTAAACCTGTGCATTTGGTTTTTCTTGCCTAAATATGGAACACTATTTTTATCACCAAAGAATTTCATTTTGCTAGATAGGGTCCAATGTTCAAGTCTGTCAAGAACCTTCTATATCTTGAGCCTATATTCTGGAGCATTAGCTATTCATGTCAGCTTGGTATCATCTACAAATTTAATGAGTTCCCCTTCTATCACCTCGTCTAAATCATTTATGAAGGTATTGAAGAATACTGGGTTTAAGATAGAACTTTGAGGTTCCCCGCTGGGGCACCTCATTGAGAAAGAAATATACTTCCTCTGACTGACTTATTTTAATCCATATAAGAAAATAGGGAATATTTGATTGAAATCTATATTTAGACATAATCTTTATGGTATACCGTTACTATGTAGCTTTGAATTCACTTTTTTCTGAAGACATGTATTGTTCTTTCATTCAAAGAATCCATTAAATTACAATTATTTAAGTTATAATTAATTTTACAATTAGATTACTTAAAAAGCATAAAATAACTAATTCTAATTTAAATAGAAGTTCTGAATAAATATATATTTTATTATAAGAAAATGCAATTGCTATTCAATAATAACAATAGGCAAGTGAATTTATTCAGATAAGATAAACATTTTGCTAATTGTATTATTTTAATATCCTTTTAATCCACACCTTTCCACAGGAGGTTTATGCTATGTGTTATGTATCCAGATTATCTCTTCTTTTCCCAAACTAGCATATTAATGTGTGTTTTATAATGGAATCTCTTTGTGCAGATATTTGCAGATTGTAATTATATATCAGAAACCCATATGACTGGGTCAGGATCAACTGTTAAATCTTATTTCAGTTAATAAATACTCTACAAGGTTTATTATATAACAGGTTAATGTGCTTGGGAGTTAATCTGGGACTTAATGACTATAGACTATTTTTCTATTACTGAATATTGAATATGTATTGCTGTATTTTTTACTTATAGTAATGTTCATGTAAGCTGTAAACTGTCTTGCTGTGCTTGATTTGGATTGCTTGGTGGGATACTAGTCCTCCCATAATCATGGAAGTCAGTTGGGTGACTTTGGGCTAATTGTTCTCTTTCAGCCCTAGAATGAGAAGTTGAGAAATATCTACAATTCTGCCTTAAATCAGCATAGTAGTTTACAGTTTATAATCTTCAATGGAGAAGCCTTCATCTTGTGATGGATTCTTCAAGCTACACACACACACACACACACACACACAAATACATTAAGACTGGTGTATATACATTAAAATGGTGCATTTTTTATTGTCTTCCATTGTAATACTAACTGGTTTTCACCCTTCTCAGGGGAAATTATTTATTTATTTTATATTGATTTGTATCAATTTTATTACCAGGAAACAAATTACAATAAACTTGAAGGTGAATCACTATGATATCCCTGTTGCTCTATTTTCTCATAAAACATTATTTTTTCTCAGAATCAAAGAAACAGATGATTTGCACTACCATGTAAAATTATTATTTTTTAAATGCCATTTTAAAACAAACAGCTTCAAATACAATAAATGTAACTTGTGAACACTCAAATTTGCTGTAGCAATAATTAATAAAAATATATTGCATATTTACTTTGCAGCTCCTAGTTCCCCTCCAAGATTGCTCACAGTAAAACAGTTAGCTGATGCCATTGTGGTGTTGTCATGGCAACCGCCACTTGAGCCAAATGGAATTATCCTTTATTATACAGTTTATATTTGGTAAGATTTTCCTAAATACTAAGATTTTATTTACTTAAGAAATGTTTTCCCTTAACCTTGTAATTCATGTTTTAGTCCACATACTTGAATATTAGTGAATAATTAAAAACAATTTATTTTAACTGAGCTTCAATATAGACAACTAATGTTTTTAGAAATTAATGCTTGCTAGATTCTTCAAGCATTTTGAAATCATGATTTCAAAACCAAGATGTTGCCACACCAAATAGAATTTTTAGTAGTTCTCTAGCACACTACCATATACTGTTATTGATTGTCACAGAATGGAGTGGATCCTGTCTTACACTAGAATAGAATAGAGCTGGAAGGGACCTTGGAGGTCTTCTAGTCCAGCCCCCCACTCAAGCAGGAGAACCTATACCATCTCAGACAAGTGACTGTCTAGTGTCTTCTTAAAAATCTCCAGTGATGGAGTGCCTACGATTTCTGGAGGCACTCTGTTCCACTGGTTAATTGTCCTCACTATCAGGAAGTTTCTCCTTAATTCCAGGTTGCTTCTCTCTTTGTTCAGTTTCCAATCATTGTTTCTTGTCCTGCTCTCTGGTGCTCTGGTGAACAACGTGATTCCCTCTTCTTTGTGGCAGCTCTTCAAATACTGGAATACTGCTATCATGTCTTCCCTATTTCTTCTTTTCTTTAGACTAGACAAACCCAAGTCCTGCAGCCACTAGTAGCAAATGGCCAACTCACCTCTACTCAATAATGAGAGGGTGGAAAGTAACTAAACAAATTTCAGCATTTGGTATCTGCAATTAGTTCATGTCCATATTCTGGTCCTTGATTCATATAACATGATGTTATATATACTAAACAGCTATGCATTGTTGAGATGCTGAACTAGTAATGTAACATAAGAATCTTTACCAGTCCTTTATGTTGCTTTCTAAGAAAAGTTCTAATCTTAGAATTCAAATTAAATGTTATGCTAATTTCATGCATGATCACCACTCTTTCTTACCTCCCAGGTCCTACTGTGCCGCCTCATTGTGGTTATGGTGGGGGATGTCCCTGGAATAGATGTTGCTTCAATAAAGCTATTTCTCATGAGAGCAAAAAACTTTTTTTTTACCCAGTATGATACAAATATGTCTGAATGACTTTATTACTGGAAAGACATGGGAAGCCAAGAACTAACAAGAAACACAATGGTGTTAAATTGAAACTCTACAGTTTAGCACACGTAGTAACATATAGAACTATTTAGTTCTTGTTTTGTTAATCAGCTGTTTAATTCTCTTTAATATGTTTGCTTAGGAATATTATGTCAAGAAATATCAATGTATCTGAACCATCACTAGAATTAACAGATTTAGAATATAACAAAAAATACCGTGTTTATGTAACAGCAAGTACCAGATTTGGTGATGGAAATATAAAAAGTGACACAACAAGTTTCAGGACCTCTGAAGGAGGTAAATATGTATGTATGTACTATTGAGAATGTTCTTAATAGTGATTTAAATGTAGGATTGATATATATATTTAAATATATTATATTATGTAAAAAATAGGATAACCCTAACCTTTTTGGTAATCAGAGATTAAACTTTATGTGTTTGTGGAAGTCAAAAGCTTTGGTAGCTGGGGATGTTGCCAGCATAAACTTTTTGTGTCCTTTATCCTTGGAGTACTATGGGCATTAGTAACAAGTGAGGAACCCTTTGTTTTGGCACTTCTTTATTTCTGCTCTAAGGATTTTTCCTCCTGATTGTTTTTTAATAGAAAAAATACAGTGTGACTGTCCTTTGGTCTGTTCCCAGAATGAGGATGTGAAACTCACATGCTGCAAGATATGTTCCTTATCCTTTTTGGACTTTGAGCTTCTCTCTTAAATATTCTTAATAGTCCAGATTCTACTCATAGACATAAATTCTGCTACATTTGGATCTCCAGTGATAAACTTGATAATTCTGGCCTAATTCATAGGTATTTTTCTATGTTTGATGAAGAATTGGCAATTTCCTTCTTCTTTCTTAATTATATCTACTTTACACTAAACAGTACAGTTTTTGTGCTTTCTAATTCAAAATAATAGGAAACTGTGTATTGTCACTTATTAGTCACATGATCAGAGGAAGCTCTAGAGCAATGATGGCGAACCTTTTAGAGACCGAGTGCCCAAATTGCAACCCAAAACCCACTTATGTATTGTCGGGTGCTGGGTGGGCGTGGCCCATTGGGTGGGTGTGGCCCATTGGGTGAGTGTGGCCCATTGGGTGGGCGTGGCTTCGGTGATAATGGCAGACTGGGTGGGACTAAAAAGTTCAATCAATCAATTCCAACTTTGAGAGATCTTTTTTTTCCCGCTAGAAGTTGAAATTGATTGATTGATTGATTGAACCTTTTTTTGCACACGGCGGCGGAGGCCTAAAGTGAAAAGGTTTTATAAAACCCAACTAAAGGCCTAGGACTGGGGCAACGGCATGCGTGCCCACAGAGCGGGTTCTGTGTGCCATCTGTGGCACGCGTGTCATAGATTTGTCACCACATTCTACAGGCTACAAGAAAAGGGATTGGAACCACATGGAGTCTTGTGGCTGTAATTTTCTGTAAAGCATGTTCCTTCAAAAAATTGGCCTTTATACCACTCAGGTCAAAGGGTAGTTGTTTTAATATATTACTTTTTTCATATGAATTTTGAAACTTGCCTTTTCATAAAAGGTAGATAAATCTCTGCATACTGAATTAATAATTTTTTAATATTCTTTAAATCTTGCAATTGACTTAGGGCTTGTATGCATCATTTGCTGCTCTTATTTCATTAATATTTTGAGTTGCTTTTGAAAAGCTGCTACTAAGAAGCTTGAAAAGAATATGGATACACAATACAACATTATTGATGGTACTCAGGCTGTTTTTGAAACTACAGAAAACTAAAGCACTGCTGATCCAAGAGTAGTGTAATGAAATGCCAAAACTCCAAAATGACAGCTATGTCTTCCTTTACACTTCCACATTTTCATTTTCTGGAGAGCTCATTCATTTGTCCTCTGAAGCTTTGGGACAATGCACTTCATTCTGGTACTTGGGCCACTTCAGTTCAAAGACAGTCTGAATGCCATGTAAGCAGCTCATGTCAGTTTGGACTTGTGCTTTGTCCAGTGTAATGCAAACAAATAATTATGCAATTATTTCTTGCATATTAATACAGTATGTCTTTGTAAATGAATGATAAATTATTGAATGATTTCTTTTCATTAATTTTTTACCAGAATTAACTGTCAACCTGAATTGTATACTCCCATCTCAAAAATGTTGGCTTGGTCTGTTCACTAATGATACGCTATTGTGCTCCTTACAATAGAAAGCAAAGAGTATCAGGACATATATCATTATAATAGCAGCCTTTTGTATTTCCAAAGGCTAAGTTCCATTAAGGATCAGCAGAAAGAAAGGATTTTAGCCATAAAACCCTTTTCTAAAACATTTGTGGAGCAGAAACAAAATAGCCTTTTTTTGTGCAGTTGGTAAATGTTTACATTTTTCAGCTCCAGGTGATCCACCTAAAAACTTGTGGTATAAAAATCTCACTTCATCGTCAGTAAGAATATTCTGGGATCCTCCTCAAAAACCTAATGGTGTTATTCAGTTTTATTCAGTTTACTACAAAAATGATTCTGACACTTATGTACAGGTATATCCACTTTTTTATTTTCTCTGAAAGTGTTTGACAATGCTAAAATCTATATATGTATTTACATTAGTAGTAAGTGAAAGAAATAATTGTATGTGCTCAAACACAGAAAGTTAGAGTGATGCACATTGTGAAGATGATTCAGAAGATGTGGCTAGAACTTGCATGAGTGTAGCATCTTGTGGCTATTCTTTATTGCAGCCTGTTTTTTTTCTCACTTCTGCACAAGCATGGAAAAAAGTATTTTTGTTGCATGCTGTTATTTGTCAAGGGTGTCCTTAGTCTTATTAGTTTGGTTATTACTTGTACTTTTATAATATTTAATTGTTAACAATCTTTACCATATTTTTAATCAAGAAAGACTAGGGAGCCATTTTGATGTAGTGGTTAAGACTAGAAACCAGGAGTCCGTAAATTCTAGTTCTACCTCAGGCACAAAGGCAGCTGGGTGATCTTGGGCCAGTCACTTTGTCTCAGCTCTAGAAAGGACCCAGTAACAAACTACTTCTGAAAATCTTTGCCAAGAAAACAGCAAGGACTTACCCAAGCAGTCTCTATGAATTGGACTTGACTGGAAAAAAGGGAAACAAAAAATAATATATACAAAAAACAAAAGTAAATAAGGATTTTGCATTCAGTGTTATATTTGAAGCTGAAAGTGTACACTATTTGCATGATCAAAGTCAGACTCTCTCCACCTTCAAACAGAGAATGTGTATAAATCAAATAATTCAAGCTTTGCAAAAAATAAGTGAAATAACTGAAGTCAGATAAAGTGAATATAATTATTTCTATTTCACCAACATCCACATGACTGGTTGTCTAATAATAATACTGTTGCACTTATAAGATAATTTTCTCATTGTGCTATCATGATTTGCTTTTTGTTTAAATATCATAAATGTTTGCAATACATAATGTTCATTTAGTCATAGGAGAGAGGACATAAGTTATGGAGAAATATTAATTTTAATTTAATAAATTTTCCTAACATTTTCTGTCTAGAATTTTACCACTTCCACAATTGACACCAGTGCTGATAATTCAACTTTATCGATAGTATTAATCAATTTAGCAAAATGGAGACACTACACACTTTGGTTAACTGCAAACACAGCCCTTGGGAATGGAAATCAAACTAGTGAAATAATGCAACTATATACAGACCAAGATTGTATGTAAAAAAGTTTATATTGTTTGTAGAAATCCTATATGTAATTCTTTGTAAGGTTTTTGTGTGACCTTTAACTGCTCTTAAAGTTCATTATGATATGAGTCATCTGATCATCAGAATCATAAAGTATAATTTTTTTAATGTTTTGCCACTGTGCATTTAATGTGAGAGATTAGATATAATTTATATAAATAATGTTTTTTTAAAAAACCATGGCTTGAGAGTCTAAACATGTTATTAAATCCAGGTGGGTGACTTTGGGCTAGTCACTGTCTTTCTGCCCAGCTTACCTCACAGAATTGTTATTGTGGGGAAAATAGGAGGAGAAAGAATTATTATGCAGGTTTACTATCTTGAGTGACATATATAATAACTCAAGTATCCTCTAAATTAGTGCATCAGTACATGCATTTATTATATATATTATAGTATATGCAGCACCTTGGCAAGAGGAGATGATAATAATAATAGTAATAGTAATAGTAATAGTAATAATAATAATAATAATAATAATAACAACAACAACAATAATAATAATAATAGTTGGAAGACACCTTGGAGGTCATCTAGTCCAACCCCCTGCTCAGGCAGGAAACCCTATACCAGTGATGGCGAACCTTTTAGAGACTGAATGCCCAATCTGCAACCCAAAACCCACTTATGCATCGTTGGGTGCTGGGTGGGTGTGGCCTATTGGGTGAGTGTGGCCCATTGGGTGGGTGTGGCCCATTGGGTGGGTGTGGCTTCGGTGATAATGGCAGACTGGGTGGGACTAAAAAGTTCAATCAATCAATTCCAACTTTGCAAGATCTTTTTTTTTCCCGCGAGAAGTTGAGATTGACTGATCGATTGAACCTTTTTTTCCCCACACAGTGGCAGAGGCCTAAAGCGAAAAGGTTTTATAAAACCCAGCTGAAGGCCTAGGACTGGGGCGATGGTGCACATGCCCACAGAGAGGGCTCTGAGTGCCACCTCTGGCACCCGTGCCATAGGTTCGTCACCACTGCCCTATACGTTTCAGACAAATGGCTCTCCAGTCTCTTCTTAAAAACCTCCAGTGTTGGAGCATTCATAGCTTCGGGAGACAGTTTGTTCCACTGATTACTTATTCTGTCAAGAAAGTTCTAGGTTGCTTCTCTCTTTGGTTAGTTTCCATCCATTGCTTCTTGTCCTGCCTTCAGGTGCTTTGGAGAATAGCTTGACTCTCTGTTTTTGTGGCAAATATAAAGTAATAAAGACAGGAGAAAAAACTAAAACTAAAAATAAATTATGTGAAAGCCTCATGAACAACATGAACTTATTTTTATGTATAATGTTTCTCATCAACTGCATATATTGATATTAGGGCTAGAGACATTGTACATACAGATAATATTTTTTTTTAAATTTCCTGCAGTACCTGATGGACCTGTTAATCAGCTGGCCTATCAGAACATTTCTTCCACGGTAGTAAATGTAAGCTGGATTCCACCAATGCGGCCCAATGGACTCATCTTCTATAATATTTCATTAACAATGAAGGATACTCAAACAAATCATGAGATTTTGTCGCTTCTTCTATATGATACAAACATAATTTTTAATAAGTTGGAAAAATATGCAAACTATCTTCTAAACATTACTCCAGCAACAGAAAAAGGGTCATCGGAAATGTATACTTTAAGTTTATACATCAGAACTGAAGAAGATGGTATGTTATCTATACTGCTTTGTTCCCAAATACAGGTTTATTTAGACATAAGCTTGTATATGACTTATATAACTTAGACTGCATTTGTGTAGCTTATGGCATGAGCTAGTTCATTTCTTTTTCTAATACAGTATTTCCATGTGTATCAGTAGTTTATTTTTTAAATTGGATTGAACTCATAGGCAAACATCCTTTTTGCTCTTCCTCATAATAATTATACTTGATTTAGCCAAAAGATCATATGGTGGAATAATACTATATTATTCCAGAAAAATATAATATTATAGTACTATAATATAGTAATATAATATTGTATTATATATTATAATATAATAATGCTATATTATTCCTGAATATTTCCAGCAGTTGATATGTAATTCAAAACACAGTTATATATTTAACTCATATTACTCTTCCCAAAGCTATAATAAGAAGTTCATGGATATTAGATCAAAATAGGATGACTGGATGCAAGTCTATCACAAATGTCATTGACAGAATTCTATACTTCAGGCATAATGAAACTGACAGTCTACCTTTATTTTTTTCTGAGATGTCCAATAAAAATGAAAAAAAGTTATTTAATTAGTTTCATCTTAATATATGAAACATACTATTTTTAAGACTCTTAACCATTGATTTCTTAAATGAGTTTTCCAATCATTTCTTCCAAAATTCTTGAAATTATGTAATTAATATCACAACTTTAAGGAGCTAAGCATCCACTTTCAAAGAGCTCACTGGATCAGTCAAGAAAAGGATCTTCTTATAAAAGATGTCTTTGCAATTATTAGTTACTCTTGTCAATATAATAACAGCTATGTATCAGCAGCCACCAAATTTTTCAAATTTAAATACTGGGCTCAATACTACATGGTGTTCAGTTTTTATATATAAAATCCCTAATTATATATATAATCCCTAATTATACCAAAAATGTGAATCCTGGGTAAATCCATATAATAGAAATAAAATAGTCCGAGCACCAGGATAATATTAAAACAAAAACTGTTTAGTACAAAAGCTAAAGCTAAGCTTTCATCGGCCAACACTGCCGACATCATCAGAGCACAATACAAGATTACTGGGAGTCCTTTTTATATTGCCAGATGGCTCTGCATCCGGCTTCTCGATCTAGCCATCGGTCCGTCCGTTTTCTCTACTTGGTTTGTTCTTAAAAGGCATGCGTCTCTTGCTGTGTTGGTATCTTCCAAGGTTACTATTTTCTTTTTCCTGGGCTCAATCATTTTCTTTCTGCTAGCATATGCCGGTTGCTTTCGTTCGCTTGCACTTCCCCCCTTTTTTGGTTCTATTCCAGGGTCCATCTGGTCTTCCTTAATGGGGTTGTGCGCATGTGTGCTCGGGGGAGGGGGTATATTGAATGGATCTGGGCGTCTATCAGGGTAGTCTCTGAGGGATATGCTCCTACGTGTGTTCTCCCACTCCAGAGTGCTGCCTTCTTCCGTGAACCTCTGTGGGTATATTGAACCAAAAAAGGGGGGAAATGCAAGCGAACGAAAGCAACCAACGTAAGTCTCACCGCGCTGCACACAACAGCACGTTGATTGTTAGATTCCTCCATCCTGACTACACATCGAATGAGGAATCTAACAATCAGAGACTTACACGCTGAACAGCTGAGAGGCGGAATTTTTGAATCTCAACCAAAGACCGGCTTTTACATTGAAGCCGGAACTATTGGGACTATATGCGAGCGAGTGGGTGTGAGCATGCCATATGTACATTCTATACCTTGACCATTATAACGGTCATACAAGTGTATGTACAGGTTCTCCTAATCTTCAGCCCTTACTCTGATGATGTCAACAGCTAGTTGACGAAAGCTCAGTAATAAAGAAGGCTATTTTATATCCCGGAGTTCATTAATTTTACATATATATATGTATATATATATATATATATATATAT